AAAACTATATTTATTTATTATCATATAATTTATTCAAATTTAACTACTATCAAGTCTTCTATTTCTAGTTTTGCACAATAGTGTTATATAGCTATCTAGTTTGCTATTATAGTAATATATAGTATATTAAGATTAGCTAATACAAAATATTCTGTTATTAAACTTTTTAATATATAATTAAAGTTAATTTGGTTTATATTAGAATTATTATAATTTTACTTTAAAATTACTATAAAAATCTATTATAGATTTTGTTTGCTATTCTGATGACTATAATATATAGTTATGATTGCATTAGTTTGTATTGAAATTATTAAAATTTTTATTATAATAAGTTATTATTAAATATTTATATATAATTTATAATTCTAATAATAAATAGTATGAAGTTAACTAATGTAGTTATTAACTTTAACTATATTCTAGTTAACTTAATATCCAAAAATATATATAATTAGAATTATATTATATAAGCTCCAATTTTAAATACATATAATTTTAGTATAATTTTTTCATTATATTATATATAAATACCAAATTTATAAAAGTTTGAAAGAGTGTAATAATTTAGTAAAGTGATCTAGTTGTACTCCACCAAGTAGCAAGTCTATAGTTCAAATTCTATAGATGACAATTGTGAAAAAAAAGATCTGTGTTTAGTATTAATTATCTGGCAATTAGCTAGATCCAGAATCTGTAATCTTGGTAACACTATTTTAAATAGAATCTTCTTTATATAAATGCCAAAAATAGAATAATTAAAACCTGTTTGTGAAGTTAGGTATCAAAAACTTTTAATGATGCTACAAGAAGACCAAATCTAAAAGTAAGGCCTGAGATTGAAAAACCAAATAACAAAGGATTTTTAAGTAGAAAGATCTACTAACTAAACTACTAGAACTATTATACTAGGAGAAAAGAATATATACTTTAAAAGTATGTATCAAAAGAAGATAGGCCAAAGGCATCTAGTACTGGGCCAAGATTAATCTATCTAGATCATTGGCTAAAAGCAAAGAAGAAACCAATTAAGTATCTAGTAAAGGAATGAAGTTCAATTGTAAGTACTAGAGTTGAGGTAAATCTTATAATGCATAGCAGTTAAATAGGAGAATCCCAACTACAAGTAGAAGCCTTGGCAACTATAGTACTAGGTTAGCTAAAATAGAATGCAGAAGGCTCTAGTAAGTTTATCTCAAAAATAGACTAGTCTAGAGTTAGTAAGTTCTAAAGTATATATAAAATTTGGGTAATCAAGTTAAAAAATCCATTAGGTAGAATTAGGTTAAGATCAGAGTATTTAAATTGACAACTCCCTAGTTGAGTTGCAGGTATAATAGCCAATATAAAACCTAGGGCAGACTACTTAATTTGACAATCAAAAGTTGTATATATAGCTAATTATACCATTACAATAGCCAGAGGGTTTAAATAGGTAATCTTCTGTTAGGTTGCAGATATAGCAGCTAGTGTAACACTTCAGACAGACTACTTAAATTAAACAACCAAAAGTTGTAAGTATAACTAGTTGCAGTGATAGTAATGACCTGAAATGACTCAAATAACTAGTCATTGGGTTATTTCGAGACCAAAATGACTTAGAAGGTTATTTAACATATGTTAATTGATATTCTATTGTCCTTTAGCCAATCAGAATTTGTCACCAAACAAAATTAAAATATAATCAATAATCATAGCTATATATTAAAATCAAAAAATTTTACTCTTAAGTAAAAAGTTGTTTGAAATAATAAATTGCATATATTCTGGAATTTTTATATAAACTGAAGAACTTTTATTAATTCACTTCTACACTTTATATTTATGTGAAGTTAAAGTTTTTAATTTATAAACAATAATTGACCAAGATTTTGACTTTAATACGTGTATAGCTACAATTATCAATTATGAATGTAAAAAAGTTTGATAACTTTTTATATGAGCAATTCGAACAATAAAATTATTTTATAAGCAAATGACCTAAATGAACTTAATAACCCAAATGATCTTGTCATGATTTGATGATTTGGGGTCATTTAAATTTTGAACAAATGACTGGATCATTTACCATTCCTGGGTTGGATCGGGCATATAAATTTTTATTGAGCTTGGGCCCAAGTATACAAATACCTAGCCTAACCCAGCCTATTTCAAAACCTATAAACTATATGACCCTCAAATGACCCCGGTTATTTCTAAATGACTGTGGTCACTTGGTCATGAGTCATTTCCAAATGACCCAAAATTGAAATGACTGATAATGACCGGTCATTTCGGGGTCATTTGAAAAATTTGCAAATGACCAGGTCATTTACCATCACTGGCTAGTTGTACCCTCATTGTAGCTAAAACTTAACTTCTAATAAAAAATTATAGCCAAAGAGATCATCTTTAACACAAAAAAAATAATAATAATAAAGTTTGGTAAACATTATTTATCATTTGATTTAATTATGCAAACCGACTTGTTACTTCTAATTGTTGACAACTTTGATCTCAGAAATTAATATCATATATTCAAAATAAAAAACTAAACCTTTCTGAATTTATGTAAAGTTAGTAATACAAATTATAGAATTTTATATCCCTATGTATAGTGAGCAAAAATTGTTTTTTAAAAAAAAATACAAATAATTACAATATTATTCCCTCAACTCTAACCTTCTCATTATTGTCCAATCTGGATGTATGATATGCAGTACAAATGAAGAACTGATCTACGGGTTGATGAGTTGAACTGAAAAATGTATTAAGGAAATCTTTAGTCGTTTTAATTACTTTAGTATTTAATCGAGTCTTCTTTTATTATAAATTCAAAGCCTTTATTTTTGATTTTTTTACAATGATGTGCAGTTGTCTAATAAACAATTTTTAAGATAGTTACGAAAATTAATAGTATTAAATAAAGTTAAATATGACTGGTTCGCCATCCTGCACCATACCTGTGTTTGGCGCGCAAAGTGCATCACCCATATTAGTGCACTAATGGCTTCGCCAAGTAACTTGCACCAGCAACCCTAATAGTGAAGACACATTACGGTACTGTACTTGGACTTGGTCTTTATAAAGAGCAATCGTGGTACTGCGATGCATAATTCTGCTCACGCTAAAAAAAAATTTTATATTGTTCTCATATGAGACATTTTTCTGAAATCAATTACAATGTAAAAAAGTATTTTAGTGCGAGCGGAATTATGCATCGCAGTACCCTGGACATTCTAACGTACGCATGTACATGCAGTGCAGGAAATTAACTTCAATATTCTATATAGAGATGGTGCATAACAGTAGCACATCGAAATAAATTTCCTAATCAATAAGCGAAAGGTCTAAAGCTCTCTACTTCTTTGTATAAAAAATACTAAGCAAAGAACAATATGTACGTAATGGCATGCAGCTGAGAATATGCTAATTTAGTAAATACAATATTAAGTATTTATTACATTCTATATATTACTTAATACGTGTAAATTTAATTAACCATATAATAATGGTCGGAAGTGAGAGATAAAAGCTAAGACTAAGTTTAAATTCACTACTAAAAATAGAATTATTCTCGCTCGGATGCTTTATTAAACATGACACTGTGAAGATACATATGGGAGTAGTGCTCCACTTCACTACTTTTCCCTTCTATTTTGACATATTTGTGCTCTTTGTAAATTTTACTATGTTTACATGTTACTTATCAGCTTGTCACTGTGTGTTCACGTGACGAAGTACAAAATGAGGATCGGAAATACGGGCCCACGCTATGGTGTGGCGCACTCTACAAATTTTACTTTCACTTTTTCACTTTTTTTTTTTTCCCTTTTCCTTCCCATGCACGACAACCTGCAGGATGCAACGTCTTTTAAAAAAAGGGTGGGGTGGTGAGCTAGTCACGAAGAAGCCAAATCGTAATCGGGCAGTGAAGAGTACAAGAAGACAAGACAAGCGAAGTAATTCTCCAATTACGCACTACATGTCTATGATCTCAATCATATGAATATCCTTAATTTCAATCACATGCATTTCTAAAATGCATACAATCGTATGCATATACATTGTCTTTTCATACCACAAAGGGTGATCCTCGCAATAATAACCCTAGCGTGACTAATCTATTATCATTGCTCTTTTCGATTTAGGTTGATCGACGATCTGCATAAATTTTTTTGAGCCAAGTCCTGTAATTACGATGAGGGTATCACTACGTATTTTGTGGGACTCATTTTAGGATTCTTATATTCCCCCTTTTTGATAAATAAATTTTAAAAAAATACGACGAACATAAAGTAGTTATCTAGTATTTATGGACCACGGAACTCAAAACAAAATTATGCAGATCGTCGATCCAACTAAATCGAAAAGAACAATAATAACCTATTTGCAAAAAAATCTTAAATAATATCGATATTACATAATATTAGGTAAGAATACGTGTTAACTTGGCCCATCCATAGCTGAGAATGAATCTCAATGAGTTAGTAAAACTTTATTCTATATGAAGTTATTCTATATTGATATTAATAAAGATTAAAAATAGAAAAAAAATGAAAATTATCACAAAATTATCGCTTTTGATTTAGTTGGATCGACGATCTGCATAATTTTTTTTGAGTCCTGTGATTACGATGATATTTTGTGGGCGCATTTTAGAGCAATAATAATTACCTATTTGTAAAAAAATCTTAAATAATATTAATATTAGGTAGGAATACGGTTCTAGCCGAGAATGACAAATTTAGTTTATCTCAATGAGTTAGTAAAAACTTAATTCTATATGAAATGATTGAAGTTTTTAGATTTCCTGCACGTACGTACATACGTATGAACGTGCATACCTGATGCATTGATCTTTACTAATAAAGATTAAAATTATAAAAAAAAAAAAAGGCCAGACGACTGGTTGAAAATTAAACCGATAATCAAACTTTATTTGGAAATGTAATACAATTAATAATTATATAAAAACTCTTTAATCTCAAATTCTATTAAACATTCATGTTAAACGAAAAATGAGTGAGCTCATGTCTTTAACCGAAAATAAACCAAGAATTGAGCAAAAAGGAACAGATGATTATTCTTTGAATGCATTAAAAAAAGTTGCAAGTAGAGATACGTATATTGTACTATCTCCGAAACAATTAGAAAGATTAAAACAAATTTCTGAAGCTATTTTTAAATTAGCTAATGAAACTTTATTAGAAATAATAAAGCAAGATGAAGTAGAATCTTGGATGGAGTCAAGATATGGTGTTGTTAAATCACTCTGGAAAAACGGTCAAACTGGAATAAATTTAGCAAGATTTGATTTTGCCTGGGATCAGGAAAAGAATTTTAAAATATTAGAAATGAATACAGGAAGTAGTGCTGGCTGGTTATTTTCAGGTTTGATCTGTAAAGAAGCATCAGCTGAAAAAATTGGTGTTCCTCTTGCTCCTCCAACAATGTTTTTAGCTGTTTATCTTTTAAATAAGCTAGGATCAAAAATAGCTGTTATTATTAAAGATTCATTTCTAGAACGTGATTTTTTTATAAGCCAAATTGAGAGTATGGGTGGAGAAGCCAAAGTTTTCAGTATTATTGAAGCCAATTTCCAAGATATTGTCGATTATGCACCTACTGGAATATATTGGAAATGTGTAGGAGCAGTAGAGCATTCAGATATAATATTAAAGCTATCCAACTTAAAATTACCACAAATACCTTCATTTGAAAGTATGTTTATATCTGGTGATAAATCATTTTTAGCCATCCTAAGTGATAGAGACATAACTGGTGCTATTCCTAAAACTTACGTATTGTCAAAAAATGACATATCAAAAAATCTTAATTTTTTTGAACAACATAAAGCAGTCCTCAAAGCAGGTGATTCAAGCAGAGGAAGAGAAGTTATATTGGGAAAAAATTATAAAAATAGTTGGGAGGACAAATTAAGAGAGATTATGAATTCCAATAAAGAATGGATAATACAAGAACTCTGTTATTTACAAAATACCAAAGATAATAGGTATGAAGATATTGCAGTTTTTATTGTTGATGGCGTTGTTCAGGGCTTTGGGTCCAGAATTTCTTCTGACGAAATATTAAATGCTAGTAAAGTTGGTTTTGGCCAGTCTGTTGTCTTGAAATATGATAATTAAAAATCTAAATTATTAAGTTTGCTACGGATAATTATTATGATATTATTTTACGGGTTTTTTATTTTGATATAGTTATGCTATAGACTAGGAATGGCAAAACATGATTTTTATTTTTTTGTGTTTTTTATTAAATGTTATATAAAAATGTCGCGCATTTGAAGTTGCAGTCTATCTAAGTTGCTGCTTTAGATAAATAAGTAGCTTCTGACAATATTAAGCACTAAATTGAATCTTAATGTAATTCTAGAGGTGCTGTTAGATATTTAAAGTAGCAACTTCGGATAATTGGCTACTTTAGATGCGACGTAATCATGTAATTAAAATTCTATAATCTGATTGGTTAATAAAAATATTTGATTTATCAGTTATATTGTTTTTAGCATTTATAAAACGCACCTGTGGTGGTTTTGCACCAATTATATGTTTTTATATATTTTTTCTAAGATTTTATGTTAGTATTTAGTGCTAGAATTAAGGTTTAGGAAGGTTTTTAGGGATGTGGAGCATTTTTACTTAGAGTATCGCATATTAACTAATTAGTCAGTTTTTAACCCTATGAGAAAAGTGGTCCGGGTGTTGGTACGGGTTGGCACGGCGTTGTTTGGATAGGCACGTGTCATGTGGCACGTAAAGACATGAAACACAAACCAAACCGTGACAGAATGGCACGTATATTACGTTTTACGGTATTGGTACGTGCATTTGGTAGCACAGTTTATTTCGTTACTTTACGTGCAATTACCCGTGCCAAAACCCGTAAGTTTTGGTTTAGTAAAGTGCAGCAAAACCCGGTCCATTTACGGTCCAAAATGTCAGGGTAAACAGTCCAATTCGGACCAATTCAACGTGCCAACACGGATCACAGACGTACAAACCCGGACATCCGGCCGTTCCACACCTGACCGAGTCTATCCGTAAAACACGAGCCTACACGGACCACCTTTTCCATAGGGTAAGATAATGCAATATAGGTGGTAAACAACCGTAGGTACGTTTTAGTAAAAGTGGTTTTTAATTGCAAATTTTAAATTTTTTAAACCATAATGTTTTAAAACATTTGCCATCCCTATTATATATATAAAAACAAGAATTCTATTTTTCGAGTATAAAATGAAATAATAGACCATCATTTACATTCAAGAATTAAATCTGTACTAATTTGCGGCTGGTGTTGCTCTTTCAATCATTCGAAACAAAACGTACAATATATGAGTGCATATAATTATAAGCAAGTAATTGTGCTGATGCACCAATCAGTGAAATCATGTAACTCAACTTTTTTCTGTGAAACCAACGGTAAAAAAGCTAATCAAGTACAGTACGTATACACAGGCAATGTCGATAGCAATTTAAATTTTGGGGTACAACCAAAATTAGCTCAGATGAGTTCACCCATAAGCATTACGCCAAAATTTGTGCAACAAGTTCAGTATTTAAAATTTCTAAATTAAGCGTACGCATGCATATTGATATAATTCTACACCTACTTAGTTTATCGAATAATTACTTTTAATAATAATGAATCAAATATTTGCATCAGAATATTTTGATACAATTTTCAGATTTCTTCCGTCTAATAAAGATCTATATTCTTGTCTCTTAGTTAATAAACATTGGGCCACTTGTGCCGTTCCAATTTTATGGGAAGCACCCTTCAGAATTAATAATGGGCATATTCTATCTTACAAAATGATCCAAACTTATCTTGCATTTATACCGGATAGTACTTTTCGCAAATTAGGATATAATAGAAGAATTGGGTTGTCGAATAATAGACCTCTTTTTTTTAACTATCCATCATTTCTTAAAGAGTTTTCATTTGATCAATTCCTTAATTCAGCTATAGCAAACAATTGCTGCAAAGATATTATTATTGAATTATTTAAAATACTTGTTATGAACGATGTAAAATTATGCCGAATTGATATCTATAACCATAACTGTTTTAATCATTATTCTGAAAATCTAAATAAGATAGGATATTTGGTTCTTTCTCATTTTTATGAATGCACATCTGTATTTAATAGGTTAACGTATTTTAACTGTAGCTATCAATGCCAATGCAAAAAGCACAACTTTTTAATGCAATAGCAAAGGATTGTCATAATATCAAAATCCTTAAAATCAGTATTTATGATAAAAATGAAGGAATAGCTTTAGAGGGTCTAATCCGTTCTCAAAGGAATTTAAAAAAGTTCACACTGATAAACAGTAATATTTTTGCATCATTTCCTATCCAAGCTCTTGTGAATCAAAAACACTCACTTGACAGTTTAGCACTTGAAGATATGCATGACAACCGTGACTTCTTAAGCAAGAAATTTTTTAATTATACTATTTGTCAATTAAATAGCAGTGCTATCAATGCACTGGCTCAGTGTACAAAAATCAGCAAAATTAAGTTTAAGCATTGTGAAGGGATCAATTCTTCTGTATTTCTTCCTCTTGCCATTGCTTTTCCTAACTTAACGTCATTAGAATATACTTATGGTACTTATAAAATTTATGATAGCGCAACCCCTATTAGATTATTATCTGGACTCATTATGTACAAGTTGCAATACACTTAAAAGGATTGTATTTGACTGGCATTTGGAAGCTCATCTTGATATTACTCAACTTGTTGAAATTATTTCACAGCAAGTAATAAACCTCGAATATTTAAAATTCCACTCTATACATTAGAACAACTTGCTCTAATTCACCGAGCCAATGATCAATTAAGGAAACTTGAAATTACTTTGAATAGAGGAATAAATCCACATAGTGCCCTTTCTCTCTTTTCAAATGTTCCACTCAAAAGCCTTGAGCATTCAATTCAATTGTACTTTGAATATTGTGGATATTCTAAACTACAATACAGTCTACTAAATCAGATATTTGAATCCATTTTCTACAAATGTAATCGGATTGTTGAATTTGTTTTATGTCTACACAATGATTCAATAGAAGGAAAAGGAACACTTTTAAGAAACTATCCAAGACTTAGAATCAACTCCTTGAATAGCTTGAATAGGTTTACATATGTTGCAGGATTAGATTCTGAAACATATAGTAATGTATTGCTTAAAATTTTTGATAAATTGTTAGAAATGAATTCAAATGACATATGGGCATTAATGCAACGTGGAGCAACTTATCTTAATATAAAAAAATATAGAGAATCGCTTGAAGACTTGAAAAAAGTTTTAAAATTGAACCAAACGATGTTTATGCATTAAGACTACGTGGAGAAATTTATCATTTTATGAGAAAATATGAAAAATCATTAATTGACTTAAACAAATCATTAGAGATTGAACCAAACAATGCATGGGCGTTAAAATTTCGTGGAATTAATTATTCTATGATTGATAGGTATGAGGAATCTCTTAACGATTTACTGTAAATAGAGCTGCAAAGATTGAACCAAATTATTCATTTGCATTGGGAAAACGAGATGAAATTTATTGTGAGATGAAAGGATATGATAAATCATTCATGAATTTGCTAATAAATGAAATTTTAAAAATAGATCTAAAAGATGTATTTGCATATGATTCACTCATGAACATAAATGAAATTCCCAAAATAGATTCAAGTAAAACATTTGCATATAAATCTCTAATGAACCTAAATGAAATTCTCCAAACAGAATCAAATAATGCATTTGCACTAAAAAATAGGAGCGCAATATATATGGTAATGAAAAATTATGATGAATCTCTTGTAGACTTAAATAAATCACTCAAAATATATCCTAATGATGATTTTGTGCTAAAGATTCGTGGAACAATTTATTGTATAATGATAAAATATGAAAAATCGTTTGTAGATTTGAATAAATATCTGGAAATAGAGCCAAATGATACATTTGCATTAAAACTTCGTGAACAATTTACAGAATAATGAAAAATTATAATAAATCACTTGCAGACTTCAATAAAGCTCTTATAATTGAACCAGAAGATGCATTTGCATTAAAACATCGTGGTGCAACTTATCTAATGATAAAGAAAAAAATTAATTTTATTAAGAGTTATGATTCATACCGTAATTATAATAATTATGAATATGAAAAGTCGCTTGCAGATTTAAATAGATCACTAGAAATTAAGCCAAATGATGCATTTGCTTTAAGATACCGTGGAATAAGTTATTATAAGACTAAGGAATATAAGATGTCGCTTAATGATTTAAATAGTTCACTAAAAATTGAACCGAGTAATCTATTTACTTTACAACAACGCAGTGTAACTTATTATTATATGAAGTTATATGATAAATCACTTGAAGACTTAAATAAGTCGCTAGAAATCGATCCAAATAATGCCGATTCTTTAGGAAATCGTGGAAGGACTTATTATATGATGGGAAATTATGAAATGTCACTTAAAGATTCAAATGAATCACTGAGAATTGAGCCAAAAAATGCAACTGCGTTAGGAATTCGTGGTGCAATTTATAGAATAATAAAACAATATGATGATTCACTTGCAGATCTAAATAAAGCTCTTAAATTAGAACCTGGTAATGCATTTGCATTAAAAAATCGTGGTGCAACTTATCTAATGATAAAGAAAAAAAATAATAACCCGGCCTTGTTGTTCTTGGTACTATGATAAATTTCGAAATAATAATAATTATGAATATAAAAAATCACTTGCAGATTTAAATGAATCATTAAAATTTGAACCAAATGATGCATTTGTATTAAGATATCGTTGAATAAATTATTGCAAGACTAAGAAGTATAAGGTGTCACTTAATGACTTAAATGATTCACTAAAAATTAAGCCTAATGATGCAATCACATTACACCAACGTTGATTAACTTATTATTATGTGAAATTATACGAAAAGATTTAAATAAATCATTAGAAATTGATCCAGATAACGCTGATTATTTAAGAGATCGTGCAAAAACCAATTATATGATAGAATTTATTAAGAATTGATTCAAATGATACATTTGCGTTAGGAATTCTATAGAATAATCGAAAAACATGTTGACTTTGCGGTAGAATTAAACATATTCATACTTCTCGAAATTAAACCAAATAATGAATTTGTGTTAAAAAATCGTGATGATATTTATTATATAATTAATGAATTTAAAAGTTCACACATGGATTTAGGAGAGTCATTAATTATTGATAAAGGATTCATTTGCACTAGGTAATTTACTGTAAAGACGGAGGTTATAAAAAAACACTTGAAATTTTAAAATATATCGCTAAAAATTGAGCCAAAAAATGCATACGCATTGCGACAATGTGGAATAACTTATTTTATATGAAATAATATGATAAATCACTGGCAGATCTAGATGATTCTTTAATATTAGTAAGCCTATATCCATGTTCAGTACTTTAGCTTAATGATGCTAGTGGCTAGATGCTTGAAATATCTAAGAAATTAGAATGATACTTGAATATGTTATAAGTATATTTAAATATAAGTGTTATTATTTTTTTATAGCTTTTAAAATATCTAAATATAAATTAAAATGTACTATCGAGCCACAATATTCAGAACATCGAGTCAAATAATAATTATTTTTTTAACTTTATTTCTAATTCCTTCGGGTGCCGCAAGCTCCTAATTAATTTTTAACGTTGTTAAAATAGTTTATATTTAAAGTTAACCAATTTTAATAGAGGTGAATAGATAAAAAAACAATTTTTATAACGACAAACCGGTAAATATTAAATATTGTAAATAAACTAGTGTTGCACAAAATTTTTCTTCCTGGTAAACGACTTTATTTATCAAAAGACTAAATATCTATAAAAAGGCTAAAATACCTAAAGAAGCTACCCAAATATATGGTGATCCAGACTTAGAGAACTTTTGGTCATTTAGTAGATTTTTTTTTTTTTTTTTTTAGCAACGACTTTCATTATGGTCTTTGAGGACATGTCATTTTCAATTCACTATTAGCAATATTAGCAAGAAATCTACCAAAAAATGCAGAAATGTAATCGTAAAGACTTTAAATTTTGTGTCACCCGACACATGCTTGTGGGTAAAATTTACGTTTTTGATACTCTTACTTTTTTGATACTGATCGACATGCAGATCCCAGTAAAAATAAAAAATTTAAAAAATTTTAAGCGAAGATATCTCAACACCTATCTGTTTGAATCTGATAAAACTTTCCAATTTAAATTCTATGGATTCATAGAATTCAAATAAAAAAAAAATCCATCATAGTTGTCAAGATGCTTTGCTCAAAATTAGAAAAAAAACAAATTGCTTTCAAAATAGAAGCTGTGCCAAATTTTTTTCTAACTTGAGTGAAAATATCTCAATAACTATTTGACCAAATTTGATAAACCTTTTTTATTTGAATTCTATGGATTTATAGAATTCAAAAAAAAAAAAAAATTCATCAAATTTAGTCAAGTAGTTATCAAGATATCTTAGAGAAAATTCAAAGCATCTATCAAAATAGAAGCTATACTAAATTTTTTTTCTAACTTTGAGCAAAGGTATTTTGATAACTATCTAATCAAATTTGATAACCTATTTTTTATTTGTATTCTATGGATACTAGAATTCAAATAAAAAGTTTCCTCATATTTAATCAAGTAGTTGTCAAAATATCTTGCTCAAATAAAAACTCAAAATATATATCTATATTAAATTTTCTTTCTAACTTTGAGCAATATCTACTTGGCTAAATACAATGAATTTTTTTTTTTATTTAAATTTTATGAATACATAGAATTGAAAAAAAAAATTTTATTGAATTTGGACAGACCTTTATCAGGATAATTTCACTCAAAGTTAGAGAAAATTTCTATTTTAATAGGCATTTTATTTTCTCTAATTTGAATAAAGATGCCTTGATAGCCACTTGATTAAATTTGATAAAAATTTTTTTATCTGAATTCTATAATCTATAAGATTCAAATAAAAAAGGTTTATTAAATTTGTTCAGATAACAACTAGCAAAAAACTTAAACTTAATGCCAATTATGTAGATCTACTATACTCTATAGCAATCAAACATTCTATCTCTATTCCACCTCTTCCTATTATTAATATTATTGACTCCTTG